GGCCGGACCTTACGCTGGCGCGCCCAACTACAGCGCCTTCCTGCCCTACGCCGCGGATCTCAGCCTCTTCTCGCAGATGGTGAGTGCACTGGCCTCCTGGGCGGCCTCCTGCGCGGCCTCCTAGTCTTCGCCTGCATCTAACCTCGGACCTGGAGCCTTGGGCCAGGGGAACCAGGGTCCCCGGCACGCGGGAGGCACAGAGGACACCTAGACCCGACCCAGGCTAGGAGCGGGAAATGTTTTGCTGGCGGGTTATCAGCGGGCGGAGACCGCGACCCCCAGGGACTTAGGAGGGCAGAGAGTCTGGGCCGGTAACGCCCGGACCATCCCGGCCCAAAGAGGCGGAAGGCCCCAGCCAGGAAGGGTGTCGCGCGCGAGTAGAGGCCGCTGGAGCAGGCCAGGGATGAGCGGCCCGGCGCTGGAGGTCGGGAGGAAACTCGACCCGCGCGGCCTGGGAGCCAGGACAGGCCCACGGGTTCCCGCAGCCTGGCCCAGTTTACCAGGACTCCCGTTGCTGGCCGAGGCCCTTGCTCGCGCGGTCTCCCAGCTTTTGAACCGGGTGGAGGAGACTTGCTTTTTCCCTGTTTGGCAGAGCCGAGGTAGTTGTCCGAGTTGGCCGAGGGAACCCTGTAAAGCTACAGTCCCTCAACATCACCCTAACAATAGACATCGGAGGAATGGCGAGGTCCTTTAATGCCGTGTGTGCAAACTGAAGGTTTAAAAACGTAAAGTTGAAGTAAATGTTGGCGTCTGAAACGGTGTTAGCTTCTACTTTTGTAAGTTGCCAAAGTTTTCATTTCATTTGTATCAAAAGCATTTAACTTCTCACGTTACATAATGAAGGCTTAAGGAAAATAGTGTCCCTGGGCTTAAAATAAATGGTGCCTTCTCAGTCTCCCGTCCCAGTGGGTGTCAGATGGGGGAGGGGGCTGCAAATTTAATTCTCTGCAGGGGCACTGGCCTGTCGGTCCATCCAAGTGAGCGGCTTTCCTGCAAGGTTGGGGCTGTTTAAACTTCTGGCTGCTCCTGAATCGCGAGGTAGGCACAGAGTCGAGGAGGAGAGGAGGCAGCCCCTCTGCGTTGCTGCGGGCTGTATAACACAATTTTCAGGCACCCCCGAATTATCCTCACTTCCGAAGAAGAGACCAGGACTAAATGCCCGCCAACTGTGCAGGAGGAAAGCAGACGCATGTTTTCCTGTAACTTTTCTTGTAGTTCCCAAAGAAAGCTTATTTCTCTGAAATCGGCCCCAGAGGCCTTTCAGATCGCCTACTATCCAGAGAGATCAGCCCCCATTTTGTTCCCGAGGATGCCCGGGAAGCGATGAGAGATTTACAAGGTGTCCTTTCAAAAAGAATTCCCAGCAGAGAGGAGGCCTAAATGTCGTCTTTACAATTACTACCAAAATACATTGAAAAATGCAAACTACAGTTTGCAAAGAGTAAGCAAAAACGAATTCTGGCCACAGAAATCGTTTCTGTGTGGTCTCAATCACCTAAGGAATTAGTCAAAGAAATGTGCTCTTTACAACTTTCTAAGAGGCTGGCGTTTCACTTCACTAACATAGTAACTGGACGAAATTTCATGGAGGATGGTAATTTTTTTGTCAAAATTTTGAATACAGATGTGAGCCATTTGGGAACTCTGCCTGTGTGCCTGTGGGGGAGGGGGCTTGTGGGGAGGGCCTTATGCATTGTGGTTCAGTGGGAAAGGGCAAGCTAGTTTTTTTTTTCCCCCAGGTTGATGTAGTTGTTGTTTGTTTGTTTGTTTGTTTTACTAAGGGAATGATAAGTTTAAATGCTTTCCCCAAAGTGTGTGCTTTACCTCCAGGTCTCCTGCCGATTTCTGGAAAGTAAGCCCAAAGTCAAACTCCATTCTAGGCCTAGGTTTCCAAGCCATTAGGATTGGGTATTTGGAAGTCAAAAGATAAAATTGTGAGCAAACGTCTGTCTGGGCAATTTATGGTAATAATGAGGCCTAATGAGGTTGTTAGAAAGATAAAATGTTATTTACCAAAAAACCTGATGGGATAATTTGACTCGCTGTGTTTTACTACTGATGATAAAAAGAATATTGATTGCAAATAAATCACCGCCTCCGAATGCCTTGCAAACAGTTTGTGTTTGCTTGCTCCAGATCAAAGTCAAACTTAAGAGATAAAGTAACCGAGAAGAGGCCCAGGAAACTGAACCGGTTCCCCTCTTGCAGCCACTGGCTCCAGGCCCCAGTGTTAATATTTTACTGGATAAGCTCTCCTTTTGTATTTAAAAAAACAAAAACAAAAACAAATGGTGTTTTGTTATTGTTGTGATGATGGCCAGGATTAAAATTTTAAATTACCTGTCACTACTGCAGACCTCTAAGTGTGAGGGGATCACTTATGCAGATTAATTTGGGAGGTGAAGGGAGTGTGCTTTCATTTTAAACTGCGGGTGAATTTAGACCTGAAGAAAACCCATGGTGGTTTATTTTAATTGACCCCTTCAGGGAGGAAAGTGGGGTTGCCGGGGCTTGAGTTCTGGGTCCTTTGCCTTTGGAGGAACTGTTTCATGAGCCTAGTTAAAAGGTTTTCTTCTCTAGCATAAGACAAACTTGGAGATCCAAGTTTCACGAGTTGTTGGGGGACTGGGAGGGGGCCTAGGGAAATTCAAGGGAGCTGTGACTCTCTAGCTGCATTCTTGTAGAAATGCACGGTTTCTAGAAGTTTTTCTAGAGTGACAAAAAACGGATCTCTGTGATGGAAAGCACAGCTCCAGGACCTGAGAGCTCCCTCCTCCCCGGGAGTGGAGTGGGCCTTCTTGCGTGGGAGCATATCCGGCCCCGCAAAAGTCCAGTGGATCCCGGATCCTAGGAGGCCCTGGGGCTGACAAGAGTGGCTGCTCCGACTTTCCCGGCTTAGGGGACTCACCTCTCACTCCCTGTCTCTCTCTTTCTCTCTCCACCTCCTTCCTTTCTCTCTGCTTTCGCTCTGCCCTGGCTGTAGGGCTCGCAGTATGAACTCAAGGACAACCCTGGGGTGCACCCCGCCACCTTCGCAGCCCACACAGCACCAGCCTATTACCCCTACGGCCAGTTCCAATACGGGGACCCCGGGCGGCCCAAGAACGCCACGCGCGAGAGCACCAGCACGCTCAAGGCCTGGCTGAACGAGCACCGCAAGAACCCGTACCCCACCAAGGGCGAGAAGATCATGCTGGCCATCATCACCAAGATGACCCTCACGCAGGTCTCCACCTGGTTTGCCAACGCGCGCCGGCGCCTCAAGAAGGAGAACAAGGTTACATGGGGTGCGCGCAGCAAGGACCAGGAGGACGGTACCCTCTTTGGTAGCGACACTGAGGGTGACCCCGAGAAAGCCGAGGACGATGAAGAGATAGACCTGGAGAGCATTGACATTGACAAGATTGACGAACATGACGGCGACCAGAGCAACGAGGATGAGGAGGACAAGGCAGAGGCGCCTCGCGCGCCCGCCGCTCCTGCTGCGCTTGCCCGGGATCAGGGCTCGCCGCTAGCAGCTGCCGACATGCTCAAGCCCCAAGACTCGCCCTTGGGTCTGGCCAAGGATGTCCCAGAACCTGGAAGCACTCGCCTGCTGAGCCCTGGCGCCGCGGCAGTCGGCCTGCAGGGCGCGCCGCACAGCAAGCCCAAGATCTGGTCGCTGGCGGAGACAGCCACCAGCCCCGACGGCGCGCCCAAGGCGTCTCCGCCGCCGCCCACGGGCCATCCGGGTGCCCATGGGCCTCCCACCGGTGCGCCGCTGCAACACCCCGCTTTTCTGCCTAGCCACGGACTGTATACCTGCCACATCGGCAAGTTCTCCAACTGGACCAATGGTGCGTTCCTAGCACAGGGCTCGCTGCTGAACATGCGTTCCTTCCTGGGCGTCGGAGCGCCCCACGCCGCGCCCCATGGGCCGCACCTGCCAGCGCCACCACCGCCACAGCCACCCGTCACTGTTGCCACCGGGGCTCTCCACGTCGACAAGGCCTCGGCCCGTAGCAGCCCTGCGCTCCCAGGTACCTGCGCCTTGTCCACCCAAACGGAGGCTAGGAAAACACAGATCTGGGAGGGGTGGGGTAAGCTTAAGGCCGGGCGAGCTAGGCCACGGCCCTAGGGCTCTTGGAACGGGCGGTGTTGTACCCGAGACCAGCTCCTGCTAGGGGGAGGGGAGGAAGTTTCCCTCGCCAACCTGCGGAGCAGAGGGAAGGAATGCGTGGGGAGGGAGCCTCCTAACCTTCGCTGCCGCCCCGCCCCCTCCTGAGTCTCCCTACCCTAACCTTCTGCCTCTCCCCCTCCCCGCAGAGAGAGACCTCATTCCTAGGCCGGATTCGCCCGCACAACCGTTAAAATCGCCCTTCCAGCCGGTACGAGAAAAGTGAGTGCTGTTCGCTTTTGCCCAGGGACCGGGTGGAGCTGGGGGCTGGTCTAGGTCGGGGCAGAGCGGGCGGGTAGGCTGTGGGGGTCGTGCAGCCATTATTGTAGTGCTATCCGCCAAGCCGGCACCGGACCAGCAGAGTAGATTCGAGTTTCTCAGGAGCCGGGAGCCGGCGCGGGCTGCAGCCCCCACCCTGAGTTCTGCTGGTAGAAGTGGATTCAGTGTCGCAGCGTCCCTCCACTGACGTGACTCGTGTCTTCTTGTTTTGCTGTGTTTCCCATGCAGCTCGCTGGCCCCGCAGGAGGGAACGCCGCGGATCCTAGCAGCGCTCCCGTCAGCCTGATTAAGGGTCTTCTTTTACTTTTGCGGGGGGAGGGGGGAGGAGTTGGGAGGGAGGAGATGAGGGAGGAATTAAGACAAATATTTCAGACTGGTGTAAAGGACAAATATGACAACGACGTCAACGACTCTCATCCATCGCTTTCCTGCAGAAAGGGGCTCGTCCACCCTGAGCTCGCGACCCGGTGGCCAGGCCTCTGCCTGCGGCTCCGGTGGCTGTCACCACGCTCGGGTTGATTATCCGATTCGGTAAATGACCCCACCTGCTTGTGTCTTCTTTTTCTTTGTTTTTTTTCTTTCTTTCTTTCTTTCTGTAAATAGAGTGATTTCAGATTGTAAATAGCGCGTCAGCGAACTTGTCTAAATCATATATTTTTGTCTAATAAACTAAATGAAATGAAGCCCGACGCTCCTGCTGCAGTGTGTGGCTATGCATAGCCTGTGTGGGAGGGGTGCACCAGGATCCTGGAACCCTGCGCAGGGCTCAAAGGCCTGTGGCTAGCGGAGAGCGACTCCTGGGGGAGGGCCTGCAGAGAGTTCCCACTCTGCAAGCCGGTGTTTCAAACAGGCATTTGCTTGTGGTCGTGGTGGCTGAGTTTGTTAATATTGTCACTAGAACAGTTTCTTGTTGGCAGGTCAATTCTTTTCAACGCTTATTCAAACATTTATCTGGGGCACATCTTTCTTGGGACAAAATGAGTTCAATTTTACACAGTTTATAAAGTGATTTTTAAGTAGGCAGAAATGGGGGTAAATTAAAAGAATTTCGAAACACCCCCCCCCCAAAGGAGAAATTTGGATTCAAAATCAGTTCGTAAGTAGTCTGAACAGTGCCTCTTGGTGTAAGGTTGGCTTCTGGGTGAAATACAAAAATAATCCAGTACCGAATACTGCTCCGAATTATTTTTAATTTTTAATTTTTTTTTTAGTTATTTGGTTAAACGTAACCTGGAAATTTTGAAGATTCTTTTAAATTCTCCAGAGAGACGTGCTGGAAGCGCTGCAGTTCCGGGGTTCTCTAGGAGAGCGAGTGAGCCAGATGTGGCTGCGGTAAAAGTCGAGGAAGAGGGGAGGGGTCTGGTCCGTCAAGGACGCCCCTTTAACCTCCTTGCCACGGTCTGCGTCTTTTTTTGCCCCGTAACGCGCGCGCGCGCACTGAGTGAGCCAAGAACAAATAATCCGCCAGATGCCCGGGGCCCGGCAGGGGAGGAGGCAGCTGCGAGAGACGACAGAAAACAATGCACGAAGGAGCTGGCCAGGGACGCGCGCGAGTGGAAAAGTATCCTAAATGCGGCACTTAAGTCTGCAGGTCTGGCCCCCGTGTGATCGAAGCAGCCCGAACGGTGGCTCTGGGAACCCTGCGCAGGGGCTCTTGGGACGCCGGCGACTTGAGTTCGCAAACACTGAGAAAGCAAATAGTTCAAAACCCGCCTGCAAGGATGTGCAGAAACCCGCTTAGTGGGGAGAAGTGCACGTCCCCACCCCGTCCACCTATCCCCAGAGCCTGTGCCTCCCTTTTCCGTGCCCCTTCGGGCCCCGCAGCTCCCAGGCTGCGCTTAGTGAAGGGCGCCGGCCAACTACGGCGGGAAAGTCGGGCAGGATGTCTTTGCCCACCGTTCCTCTGCTGCTGAGGCTCCGGCAGCTCTCCCCATCCCGAGCAGACACCTCCTACGCGCGCCTGCGTTTTCCCCAGCGCTTCTCCTCACTTGCCGGTCCTTTCCGGCAGAGGATAGGGTCTGGGGCCCTAGGGTTGAAGAAAAGCCTCGGGGAGGAGGCGAGAAAGCCGCTGCGCGAGAAGTGGCCTGACTGTGGGGTGCGCGGCAGTGAGCGGTGGGGAGGGGTGGGACGGCGCCCCAAGAAGAGCTGGGCCTCGCTGCCCAGTGGACCGCGCGGCCAGCGGGCTCGGGCTGTGGCCACCTTAGAGAGTTTCTGAATGGACGTGCTCGAGGCGCCCTCTATGGTCGGAAAGCGGAATGGGGCTCTGACCCGTCAGATGATGTCGCTTCTGGGGCGTGGCACCAATCTGGGGGTGCTGGGCGTTGGGGCTCCGTGAGAACTGGTTTTACCGCGATAGTATTTGCTCTGAGTTTCTGGGGTCACTCGTGTGTGTGTGTGTGTGTGTGTGTGTGTGTGTGTGTGAGTGTGTATTGGGGGTGCCGTGTTGGGGCTTGCTGGGTAGTCACCTGGCCGTTCCAGAGAGTGGGAAATATGAAAATATGCTGTGTATTTTCATTATCCGAGTGGAGCTTGCTGAGTCAGAGGGGTATTTTTGGTCCATCTTCTGCCCTGGGCTTCAAGGAGCCTCACAGTCCTCCAGAGGTCCTGAAACGTGCCTCTGACCCCACCCTGACTGCTGAGGTCAAATGTGTCCTCTGTCCTTGGAGAGACTGTGCTCCTAAAGAGCCTTACTAACCCCCTGACCCAAGCATTGGATGAGGAATGGAAATTTCAGCCACACAGGTTTACTTCTCAGGCATACAAACCATTGGAAGATCCCTTCTGGGTGACTCTGAAGTTAGCAGGCAGATCCAGGTGGACCTCTGGCTGCCACCAGGCTCAGCATTTTTCTTTCCCCAAATCACATCATCAGATGGTCCATTCATCCATATGTCTGCTGAGGCACACCCAGTACTTCCATTATTCTTTTTTTTTTTAATTCTATGCAGACATTTGAAACCTTGCTGCTTGCTACAGAAGAGACTAGGACATCATGTGGCCACTGGAGGAGTTCAGGCCACGGGTTATAGTGGTCTAGAAATTATGAAGGTTCCATGGGTGTTTCTGAGAGTCAAGTTTCCCATGCAAAGAAATCAGACTGCTAGACTCAGAATTATTTTTCTCAAATGAAAAGCAAGAAATGAATTTTTAATCAAGCCCTGAAAGGCATTTTTGTCTTTGGTGAGCAATTTGTTTACACCTTTATTCAGCACTGCATCTATACAGGTGTGTCGGGTGGGCTAGGAAGCACCCCAGGTGCCCATTGTTCCATCCCCTGCAAACTCTGGAGTGGACATGAACATGCAGAGGTCACCTTTGCCTCTGCAGTGTCTACCTGAGCGAAGGAGCTCCCTGCAGTGCCCCACCCCCACAAGGACAGGAGGGAATGGCAGCAGCTCAGTCACTGGCAGGGAGGAGAGACTTATCCCCCAGGGAGAAGGGCAGAGTCTTGTCGAGGGGCCTAGTGTTCTAAATGTAGGTTCCTCTTCCGAGGAACAGGTTTCCTGTGTCAATACACCATGTGCAGAACAGAGAACTTTCTTTCTGGGGAGCACAACTGGAAGTGTGTTGTGGAGGGAGGTCAAGAATCCCGGGCAGCAGGGATGCTTCTCCAGCCCAGCCCAGACCTGCTCCAGAGACAGGCAGAGCACCAGCCCAGCCCTCTGAGCTCAGCTGGACCCGAAGAGCCAGGGAGTGGGCCTGCCCCAGGGCTGACCTGCCAGCGGTCTCGGATCTCCCAGCTCCAGCACACTGCCCTTCCTTCTCTGAACAATGATATTCACCTGCACATTTATCTCACCTGTAAAATGGAGAATTCACACTTACATCTCAGTGACACTGGTGAGTGCAGCACACACCTTGGCCCCGAGGGATGCCACCTGATGAATCATGTCCTGTGACATTTCAATCCTCCTTGTAGATAGAACTCTTGCAAAGAGAAGAAGGGTGAGAGGAGAGGGGAGGGAGGTAGCTAGGAGACAGAGGACTGGGCAACTAGAGTACCGTGGTGTCTTTGGGCCAGCTTCCTCGGAGGACAGGAGGCTGCCCTGGCTGCTCAGCTCTGGTCAAACTGCCCAGACCTTGCCTGAGCTGAGAGGCTCATTCAGTCCCCACTGCCCTTCTTCCTTTCCTGAGGGTGCAAGCAGGCAGCTCATCTTACCTAGGAAGGTGGGATATGCCACAGGGCTTCCTGGTAGATCCTGGGGTTTGTGGACATGAATGAGGAAGTTGGGAATCTGAAATGTGCTTCTGAAAGCTCTGGACCTGGTTTGCCTGTGTTACTGCAAATGAAGAGTGGACAAGGAGGGGAGTAAGTCATGCCCAGAGGGTCACTTGCAGGGCTGGGGAGGGGGTCAGCAGGCATTGAGATCTGGGGCCCACGGGTACTTACAAAGCCAGACCAAACTCCAGCTATCTCTGGTCACATCGTAGAACACAGCACTATGAACTAACTCAGCCAGGCTCTGGAACCTCCTGGGATGGAGGGGAAGCTTTGGAGTGCCCCACTGAGACTGAGTATGCACTGGTGGTCAGCAACTATTGTTTCCTATGGAGGCAAGAAAGTGGGTCCAGGTATGGAGGGCTCTCATGGGAAGCATTGGCCCTGGTGCAGAACCTAGGAAGGAAGAAGAGGCCGAGCGGAGCCACCTTCTGCAAGTGGAGACAGAGCCCACCCACCTCGAGGGGTCTGAACTCCAGTAGATGGGTTTGGGCATAAGGAGGTAACTGGAGGGAGAAAGGCCCATCCCCAAGGAGCCCTGTGGCCCATGGCCACCTGAGAACTTTCTAGGCTAAGGCTGACCAGCCCAGTGCAGGCGTCCACTTAAAGCCCCATTCTGCTGGGGAAGGAATGTTCAGGCCTCAAGAGCACCCTGCTGAGCTGGCTGCTCTAATTATGGCTCCAGAGCTGAGAGGCCTTCAAAGGTCATCCTTTGTGCCCCATGGACTGGTGGCTGGTCGCAGATCTCCTGCTCTAGCAGGATAAAAATGTTTGAAGAGAGCCCACTCCAGAGGGACCATGTGCCTGAGGAGGCCGGGTCCCTGGTCAGCATGGCACTTACTCAGCCACCTGCCTTTAGGAACCTACAGATATGTGTGTTTTTTTTCCAATAAAAAGGCGAATTTTAGATCCAAGAAAATGTGTTAATATACATTAATGTTTGTCTTTATACCAAAACAGTCATAAAATATGGTTCTTAACGTTTATTTTCAGTGGAGGACTCCCTGAAGCCAGCAAGTTCCCCAGGTGAAGCAGGTTCCAGGAGGCCCTGGTGTGGCCTCAATTCCTGGAGTGCCCTAAATGGAGAAGTGGAGAAGAGAGGTCACCTGAGACCTGGTGGGAGTGGGGTGCAAGCTATGAGCTTGAGTCATATCTCCCTCCCATGTCCCCCCAGCCCAGAAGCTCAGGGCCAGACTGCTTTGAAAGATCCCAGGATGTTGCTCTGCCAGTGACCACAGAGTGGGCATCTCAGAATGCCACGCTCCTGCCACTCTGCACCACCTCTGACTAGGTTACCTGCTGGAGAGGAAAGCTGGGCTTCTGCAGGCAGCAAAAAGAGGCTGAGGCCTAGACCGTGTGTGGGTAGAGGCTGAGCAGGGCCCCTCTGCCTCTCCTTTGGGCCAGGGCCCCAGTGGCAGTACTCTCTGTCGTGCCTGCTGTCTGGCTTCTGAAGACACCCCCACT